TCTAGCTGAAGAATAATTTGGCCTCTGTACAGCCTGCTATGTGAAAGGGACTATAGAAGACTGCCTGCTTGGCTGGTAAAGAAAAAAGGGAGTGAGCTGACAACTACCCTTCTCCCTGCACTCATCTTTCTCTTAGGCAGACCTCAAGCTATCAGAAAAGGCCAAAATACACATTTCAGTATTAGCTGACCGGAAACTCAATGCCTTCCTCCTACTCATCTCATAAAACCAAAAGTTATTCCAGTTCAGGTTCCAGTAATTGTTTTGTTCACCAGACAGGTACATAAGTCAGCCCAGGAGCCCTGGTGCTAACCAAGCCTAGACTCTCTTGGACTTGCATTCCACATGCAATTCTGGCATTTCCAGGTAGCAGTTCTGCCTGGTGTTTTCCATGCATTGAGACACATGTGAAAGCATAAGCATGAGTGTTCAGGGGGTGTCTTACACTAGGAGAGTCAACAGTATCAGTCAGGTTTCTCTCACCCAGCTGAGAGAGTTGAGGAAAAAAGCTTAACATTCTGGGGACTTGAACCCAGAATGTTCCCACCACACTTAGGGACCTGAACCCACTTCCTGTCATACTTGCTCACCATTGCCTAGGGAATTTAAGAGTCGTATGAGTGAGTTGAACTCATATTCTGCAGAAAATTCTTGTTTCCTTAAAAAAAGGTAAAACTATGACTTACCAGGCAGCATTACGTGACCAGCCGTGAAGGCTAACACACTCTACCTCCTGTTAGGAAGTGGATTACTCCAACAGTTTTTCAGCACTTTCCCAGAGATTACCTTAGCATTTCTCAACTTGCTAGGAACAGCCTGCAGCACTTTATGAGTTAATCACAGTGCCTAGGCTGTAGGCATACCATGCTGACAGCTTCATCACCCACCCTGTCACATGCCCTCAGCCACATACACAGCACAAGATAGGACAGAAATATCACTTTATCTCTTTTGACCTGCTGACTGTCCAGAGTAACAGACTTTTTAAGTGAAGCACTACTTACCAACACTCTGCTTAGCTGCACACTGCTTGCTTGCTTGCTGTACTCCCAGGTCTAGGGTGCACAAAGACACACCTGACCCAAATGAAAGGAAGGTCCATTATATTCACTGGCTTCAGCTCTCCCTTGGCTGCTAATGATACAACTCAGCTGCTTTCAGTAAAGCTATTCAACTCACTCCAGCATAGAATTTAGCCTAATGAACTCCTAGAAAAGTGTCCCAGAATGTTATCCAAGTCTGAACGTAACTTCTGTAGTTCCTACAGCTACAATTGAGCTTTCCTTGTTTATATTCTGATTAACCTATCATATACTGCAATAACTCAGGCTGTAAGAGCCTTGGGTTGTTTTATAGCCTCTCTGTAGAATGTCTTAATTAGTAGGCCTGACATTCTCCCAGCACAAGTAAGGTAATAAAAAACATTGGTAGTATCATGACTTTTGCAATATGGTCGCTCATGCACTTGTGTGGTTCCGAGAAATATTCTGTGATTAAGAATAGAAGAGGAGAAAGCCCCTATGGCAAAAAGCTCCCTGATGCTGTGTAATGAAGCTGATGAAAGGTCAGAAAATCGCCCACTCCTTTGTCAGTTCCTTTGGGCGTGATTTGTAATAGTCTTCTGTGTTCACCTAAAGGAACAACAAAGTATCTCAATAAGACAATGAAGTATTGCTCTTCTGTCTTAGAATGATATTGTTATCATAAAGTAGAGTCCCTGCTACACAAGTGATCTGCCCTGATTATGTTATTCGTTTTCCCCGGCTTTATTCCTTCCGCCTCACTTTACCTGCTGTGTACAATTAGCAACTATTAGTCCTGCAGTTCCAGTTGTAGGTGAGCCATCTCCTTCTTCTACCCAGAAGCAAAGCTCGTGCTGCTTCCATCACAACCATCCTCTGTAATTCCTTTAAGGATGACTCGACAGTGCTGTTAATATTGACAGTTTTCTGCTTTGCCAGATGGGGGAAATGCAACGTAGCTTTATTTCCCTTTTCAAAAGAATATGCAAATGGTTCCACACATATCCTGTCATACTTTAATTAATGGCTCTGTTTAGCATTACATGTCAGAAAATAAAAAAAAAGAGAGAATCTCTCTACCAAATACGGCATTATTTTAGACTGTGTCCATCCTAGATTAGTTCAGACAGTAATAATTTCTAATGAGCTGTTCATAATATCATGTCAATTCTTCCTCAGTAATATAGAATGGCATAAAATGTAACATATAAAAACTTTTGAGCAGCTTCTTAATGAACTTTCTCCCTCTTTGTCTCTAGTAAACTTCTCTCTGACATGGCAGCCTTTTGCTCTGTGATCAGTATGTGCATCACTGTCAGCTATCAGATAAAAGGGGCCTTGGTGTCCTAGGACTAGGGTACCACAGCTGAAAAGTGAGGTCCACAGGGGTGAGTGGACAGTAAGGGTATCCGGGCTCCGAGGAGATCTGGTTAGCAGCTAGGTGGATCTAACCTTGGAGTCAACCAGCACTTTGCAACTGGAAAGAAGACAGGAAACAAGATTATCATGGGGCTCAGGGAAGAGAGAAAACTTGTTACGGGATATTTGAAGGGCTTGTGAGATTATGTAAAGCTTACTCTGGGTTGTTTAAGAGAAGGGCCAAAGGCTAGAAAGAGAGGGAATGAGGAAAGTCAGGGAGGAATAAGTGTGGGAAAATGGAGAGGAAGGGTGCTGGTCGTTTGTGACCAAGCTGCAGGTCAGGGCACTTGTCTGGCTGAGCCCTGTACTTGATCACTACAGTCTGTCCTATCATCTCATTAAATCCTATTCCTAATTACTTTCTGTGTGACCTTGCTCTCTGTTCTGGCTTTGCGTGTGGGTACACGTGTGTTTTGCTAGCAAACTGCAAGCTGTATTAGCTAGTAAGTTGGAGACCAGAATTTGGAAAAACCCAAGGCCGGAGCTGGAGACAGGATAAATGTGCCCAGGGTCTGGGCCTGGATTATGAATGGATTTGATGCCTGGTCGAGGGCTTGAGGGACTCACAGATGTTCATGTGTTTGTGAAACAAGAAAGTAGGGGTATCTGCACTCCCAATTGCAAGGGTCAGTCCTGGGGAGCTGGAGAGGAGGAAAGGGATAGGGCTGTCTGTACGGGCAGTGTAGATGCAAGGGCTGTATGAGTTCGTGCGGGTGCTGTTAAAGGCGTCGTTCTCTCTCTGCGCTGGTGTATGTGATCAGCAGTGCACATATTGTATGTGGTTTTGCATCTTTGGAGCTCACACTTGGTCTCGCCATCGACCGTACCTGCCAAGGGGAGCAGCAATAAACAGACCGGGGAGAACTACCCTAGGTCATAACTCATCAGCTTAGATCCTCAGCTAATAAGTTCCTGCCATGCCTCTGCCATGCCACTTCATGCCTCTGTCTCGTCAGATCAATAAATACTATGGGACCCACTTTACTGAGATGTGACAGTAGCTGGGGGCACTTACTTGTCATCCTGCAGGGCTTTTTAGCACTGCCTTCATGCTTTCCCTTCCAGTTTTAAGGAACTCTCCAGAATCTGACCCACTGCTGTGCCACAGTTCCCAGTGCTCCCCACTCTGGAAGGGCTTTTACATCAAGTATAGTGATGGACTCTGCATCCCTGTGCATTTATGCAGCACTGCCCCTCAGTGTTATGTCCTTCCAGGTAGAGCAGTTCTTGAAAAGTATGGGGCATAGACGCTCATGCTATATCTATAATAGGAAATAAAATGTCTCTGAGATTGCTCTTGGGAACTAAGGCCAAATGTCACAGTAAGTCTAGCCTCCATTGAACGTGTATCACCCCCAATACAGGGTAATCAAATGCAAAGTGCCTCTTAGAAATGTTTACTCGTCCATGCTAACCCCTACGCTGTAATAAGGATGAGGAGGGGAAATGTTCATTGGCCTGGATGTATGAAGAAGCATGCCAATACACATTCAGCAGAGATGACTGGGGCAATACATATGCCTATGTCCTTCTCTTTTAGCTTACCAGCTAAACACAACTGTAACACAACTGTAAAAACACAACTGTGTTCCTGTGGTGCTTTGCCTGAGCTTGAAGCCTATTAAACCTGAGCTGGCTCTGCATAAAAACAACTGAAAACTCCACCCATCAGAGGAAAGGTACCTGGACTCTATTGCCAGTGGCTGTAAGTGATTTCCTTTGAGCTCAGACAGTGCCGGTCAGTGCTCTGACAGGAGAAGGACTGCCCAGGTCTTGCCTTCTGCAGCTGCTGTTCTGCAACTTCCGGCAACCATGAAACTTGCGGAGTTTACATTTTTCTCAGAGATCAAAGCTCTGCAAAGTCGTTAGTTAATTACAGACATCAGTTTCAAAATTACATGTATAAATCCTTACTTGGGTTAGCACCCTCGATCATTAAACCTGAAATAGGATTTTAAAAGTCTAATTTATTTTTTGCCATTTCTTCTGTCATTGCTTTTTCTTCATCTGTCTACTCGAGCAGTGAAAGGAGGCCAAGAGGCTTGACTGTCTGCTTTTCCTGCTCCAGCATCATTTTGCATTTTTGGGATTGTGACATTTAAATCCTAACAAGCTATCTTCAAAATAGAGCACGGAAACCTTTGCAGTTAAGGTTGGCAGTAAGTTGCTTGGACTGCAAGCACTTTGAGTACAGGCTGGCCTTTTGTTTCATTGTTTTTTTAGGTGATATTAGACTAACAACAATAACAAAGATTTTATAGTCAAATGATTAAATTTTTCTGCAAACTTGGTAACCTCGCTCCATCTTTGATACAGATGAAGGAAAAGGGCTGCAAAAATTGGCAATTTTTCCTGTGTTTATTATTTTGTGCTACTTCCTAGATGTAAGACTTCTGTGCTGAATTGTTGCTTTTGTTCTCTTGCTTAGGACAGTGTATTTTAATTAGACATTTAGCCTTAGCTTGCTTTATTGTGTCATTTTTCTGTTAATGTCTATGAATATTTCATTATCATACTTTAATGGAAAAACTGACTCTTGTCAATAAACATTGCAGATTGAAAGCATTTAATATACTTTAAAGAATGCTGACAAAAAATCTGTATGTCTAAGTCCTTGAAGTGATCTTATGCTCAGCTCACCACTTGTGTGGTGTCCTGCCGATATAAGTAGAACCGCTCATGAGCAAATGCCAGTCCTACAAACAAACTTTTTCATTGCAAGTGTTTCAGCAGTGATATTCCTATTTTACGAATGGGGAATCCTCCATCCAGCAGCAAGTAAGCTACAAGGCTACAAAAAAGCAGCAGGAGACCTGGGTTTCACTCACAGACACACTGTCCAACTACATGGAATATTTTTCCATTTCCTTTTCTTTCCCATGAGCTTTTCTAGTGCATTGCCTTCGTAAAATACATGAACGCACATTTTTGCAAAGCAAGTGCTGGCGTGCTGATAATAAGCTTCCTTTTACATTAAACTTCTAATTTGACAAAAGCGTTCCTAAATGAGTTCACTCCAGCACTGAAAAATGCGCAATTATTAGGACAAGACTCTGATTCAAGGTACTGTAAACTATAAGCAGCTATAAATGCTTACACTAATAGGGACCTTAATTTATACCTGCTGAAAAAATAAGTTGCATAGACAGTTAATCATAGAAATATATGTACTATATCCATTAATTTAATTCTTTACTTCCATTAAAATGTTATTGACTTTTTTTTATTTATTAAGAGTTAGGTCTCTATTCTCTTATCTACAAAATTGCAGCATGGACTAGACCACTGCTAGGCTGGTTTTCCTGTTTCTTTCATGCCTGAAATAATTTCCTGGTGTATTATATTCATATAAATGAGGAATGCAATAAGACAGTGATACTTCCTTTTGATACTTTTAATTACCTACATTGAAAGTGAAGGGAAGGGGAGAGCATGTGGAAATTATTTTCCACACTATGAAACAGCAGATCACATAGGGAGTTTCTGTGCTACACACTGAGGATAACCAACTGCACGCTGAATGTCCATGAGCTCTGGATGCAGTGCCCAGAGACACAAACCCATCCATTCACATGCAAGGAAAAACCAGAGGTAGAAATGGATCTCCTTCGGCTGGTAAGCAAGTGTGATTTCCTGGGAGGGTGGAACATCAGTTTTCTCTCAGCAGTAACCATCATGCTGCACGCCAGCACACGTCCCGAGGGACTGAGCCAAAGCTTATTGAGGTTGCAGGGAAATCGTCTCCTTTTCAGGCAGAAAGCGTCCCTGCCACTGAACAAAGTTGCCACCCTTTTCCTCTCTCTGCACCTGGGTCCCTGTGGGTCAGGCAACTGAAGGGCC